AAGGACTTAAAAAAAATGAAAATTCATAAGAAAGAACATTCAAAGGATAAGGGCAAAGATCTTGAGGCCGTGGATTAGGAACAAATCAAGTAAGTTCAAAGCACTAATTTGTTTTACTAATTTTTTTTATTATTGCTATGATAAGCATGGTTACATTGTAAGAAATTACTCTAATAGTAATTTTAGAGTCCAAAACAATATCTATATTTTACAGCAAGTCTACGATAAATAAAACAAAAAGCTAGATGATCTTAAAGCTTTTTTGGAAGAAATTACAAAACCAATAGATGAGTAAAACTGGTTTTTTGATTTTGGAGCATCAACACACATGATAAAAAAAGAATGACATAAAAATAAAAATGAATATTTATTTTGGTCAAATTAAGGGCATAAGAAGGAAATAATATTATATTTAGAATAAAGATTCATCTATTGTACAAACTCAAGATAGAAAAAATATCTTTTCTAAAAGTTCTATATATCTTGTTTATTTATCAAATGCTTAATCACAATTAGAGCATTAATAAATAAAAGAGAAATTGTGATCTTTGCAAAATATGAGTATTGATTGCTTGACTATATATATATATATATATATATATATATATATATATATATAAATTTAGGAGTATATGGTCTAATTTTTAGATTATATTAGTTTACATTTTAACACAAAGATAATATTATAATTATAAGTAAAAGAACTAGATTGTGGCATGAGCAATTTAGTCATTTTTATTTTAGAAGTTTGATTTATTTGTCAAAGGCTAAAATAATAACAAGATTACTACTTACTTATAATTATCATGAGATATGTGAAAATTGTTTACTTTGTATACGATCTAAAGAAAGATTTTTAATAGAATTCTTTTCAAGAACAGAGAAAATTCTTAAGTTCATTCATAGTAATCTTATGGAATTTTTTTTATATCTTTTTAGGTAGATCAAGGTTTATTATGTTATTAATTAAGGTTTATTATGTTATTAATTGAGGTTTATTATGTTATTAATTAAGGTTTACTATGTAATTGATTAATTATTTTTTAAGAAAAAATTGTCTTATTCTTAAAAATAAAATCAGAGGCATTTCTAAGATTTAAGATCTTCAAAGAGAGAGAAATAATGCAAAATGTTAAGATATAGGGAAAAAATAAAGATAGAGTTTTTCTCAAAAAAGTTTTCAAAATATTTTGAAGCAATTAGAATCAAAAATTAAAAAAAAAAAAAAAAAAAAAAAAAAAAAAACTACTTAGGCAAGTATATTTCAACAAAATAGAATAATGTATATATATATATATCTATATATATATATATATATATATATATTATAAAAAATTATAATTAGTCTCATATATGCATGCATTGCACTCAAATATTTGTGGATTGAGCTTGCAAATACAGCAACTTACTTAATTAACAAAAAATCAACATATGAAAATAAATGAATTATACCAAAATAGAAGTTTTTAAGTAAACAACCAGATGTAATCTTCTTTAGAACATGATGTTGTTTATCTTTCTTGTACATTTTAAAAATTGAAAAGAGTCGTTAAGATAACAAAACTACCAAAGGCCTATTTGGAGGCTATGACTCAAAAACAAAAGGTTATGAGGTGTAATTACTAGACAAGAAAAAAATTGTGATTAGCTAAGACATTACTTTTGATGAAGACAAAGTTGGTCTTTAACATATTATAAAATTGGAAGCAATTGATAGTAAAGGAATTATTCTGATTTCAAAAGTTTGATAGATAAAATACAAAATATCATGCATGACTAGAAAGCTTGTCACTTAAAAAAAGTCCACATAATAACTTTATGCAACAAACAATAGAAAGTCAAGAACAAGTGGAACAACTTAAAGAATGAAAAGAGAAAAATTAGCCTTACATGGTTGATCAATCTTTGGCAAAGTTTAGATGTTCTAAATAACAAAGACTTCTTATACTAAAACTTAAGGATTTTTATTCATACTTGGTCAAGATAGATAATAATAAGCTACCAAGCTTTATTAAAGCTAGTAAGTGCAAGGATTAATTGAAGCTATATAGTAGGAGATAAATTTAATCAATAAAAATAAGACCTACAAATATGTAGACTTGCCATAAAGAAAGGTTGTTATAATAGCCAAGTGAATATATTGAACCAAAAAGAACTCATTAGAAAACATACAAAAATTAAAGATTAGAATAGTAGCACAAAGATTTGTAGAAATGTTAAGAATTTATTTTTATAATAAATTTGTTCCTGTGGCTCACAAGTCAATAATTAAAACTATGTTACTTTAGCAACAAATTAAAGCTAAAAGATATTATAAGTAGATATAAAAAATTAATTTTTAAATATTTTTTTAAGCTAAAATTTTCATGCAAATACCTCAAGGTTTTTAAACCTTTAAAAATAGAAAAAAATTTATATATTAAAAAGAGAGCTTTATTTTTTTTCAAGCTACTTAAGTTCCATATTAAATAATAGATAAATGTCTAAAGGACTTAAACTTTTAAAAAAGTAAGAATAATTTGAATATGTATCTCCTTATACAAGATGGATAAGATGTGATTATATTCGTTTATATTCACAACCTACTAATTACAAAATATAATCTTAATAAGATTGCATGAATTAAAAAAGAATTGATGAAATTATTTTAAATGATTCATCTAGGATTAATATAACTCTATCTAGGAGTAAAGATATTACAAGCAAAAAAAAGATATTGGTTACATCAAAACTAGTACATATTCCAAATTTTTAAGAGATTTCAAATATAATATTGTATTTATATTAAAAATTCAATATGTTCAAGATTGATATTAAAAAAAACTATGGATTTTTCATATAATAAAAAAATATTACATCAAAAGATGGTTGGATGCTTAATATAGGCAAAAAATAAAATATTTGGTATTTTATTTGTTATTGGAAATATTACCATATTTTGTGTAAAATCTCAAGAAATATATTTGAAGATTGTAAACACTTTAATTCTCACATCTTAAAAAATTTAGATCATTTTATCGTTGCTTTTGGATTTGAACTATTCCTATTCTTTTAATATTTTTTTTAATGATTATCCTTATTCTTGCAAGTTTTCAAAGTTAAATTTAATGTTGAGATCTAGATTAATGTTACATGTTAATTACTTTGTTGAAATTGATCACTTTGTCAAAATTGATTACTATGTCAAAATTGATTACTTTGTCAAAATTGATTACTTTGTCAAAATTGATTACTTTGTAGAAGTCAAATACTTTATTGATGTTAAAATACTTTATTAAGATCAATTATTCTATCAAGGTCACTTATTATGTTGAAGACAAGAACTCTTCTTTAACAATTTAATTTAAAACTTATCTAAATTATTTTATTTTGATTCTTCTCATACTAAGTTTTTTCTTAATTTTTTTATACAAGAAATGTAGTGTTTTTTAATAATTATTTTTAGTAATTATTTTTTAGAAAACAATTATTAAGAATTTAGATTTTTAGATAATAATCTTAGATTAACAAGGTATACAACATGTCTTCTAAAAGAAACAATAAACCTTGGTTTATGTATCAAGTTGGTTAATAATCTGGTACTACATGCAATAACCAATTTATCAATAATAATAAATAAATAAATAAATAAATCTAGTATTACATTGCTTTATTTGAGAAACTCAAGATGTAAGTCATTGTGAGGTACACTTTATTCTAATTGTATCTTTGCAAGTTGACTTAATTACTGAGCCTCTCAATCAAATATGAAAGAAAAAATTGATATCACAACACTACCTTTCTTTGATATTTAATCTTTTGGAAATCTTTGAGCTTCCTCTAGGATTTAATTTTTTTTGTAGATAGCACTTTTATTTTACAAAACTTGTTTTGCACAATCATGCCAACATGTATAAATTCTTATATTCCTACCTATATAGACTGCGTAATACTTACTTGAAGTAGATAATGCAAAAGTAAAAAGAAAAAATATCATTCTTGAAGTTTTAGATTTTCAAAAATTAGGGGTTGTTGAAATCTCAATTGAAAATAACATCTCTTCTTTTTATAAAATTGTAATGAGCTTTACTATAAATCTTGCCAAAATAAAAATTAGTTTTTAAAATTAAATTAAGTTAGGATTTATATATATATATATATATATATATATATATATATAAATATATTCATTGACAAACTTATAAAGAAGTATTTTATAATAATATTTTATAATCATATATTACCTAATAAATCAATAATAAAATATTTCTAGCAAACTATATAAAATAACATATTAAGTAATGGTTTTAATATTAAATAAATGAAATTTAATTAGAAAACAATTAAATTAAATTATCTTAATATTGAATAAAAATTAAGTATTTTATTATTAGAAATTATTTATTTCATTATTAGCTCACAATTTCTTTATTTTTGTTCTACGATAAAGATCTTAAAGATCTCTCATGTATTAACACGTTAAAACGTTTCTTCAGAAACATAATTGCTTCCAACACGAGCGGCTTTGTACAGTTGTTTCGAAGGATTTAGGCCATTTATGAGGTTGGCCAACATAATCAATGGACACAAGAGCACAGTTCTTACAGACGTCATTCTATTTACAGCTTGCAATCCTAAATTTGAACAGCCTGTATAACACAAAAACATTTTGTGTATCTAACACACGTGCATATAACATCTTTGTGCACATTAACATAATAAACGTTAAAAAATAGAGCTGAGCAGCTGTACATCTGATTAAACCTGTTTTCTAACAAAGGAAGACATTCTCACACAGATAGTTATATATAGTGGATCTTTTGAATGTGTACTTATTATGAACCACAGAAGCATTATGGAATGATAAGATTAGATTTAACAAACAGATGTGACGAGTTCTAAAAGCCAGATGCGTGAGCGCCTCCTTAGGCATGACGAACACACACTCACTACATTGACGCCAGTCAGATACAGTGAGGGACCCAACAGCGGGAGTGGGTGCATTCAGCTCGAAAGCAACATTCTGCAAGCAACTCTTCTTCAAAAAATTGAGTTTGTCAAGTTTGATCACGATAATGAGAAAAGCGAAAAGGAAGGGGAAAACAAAACAAAACTGGACGTGATGCACTCCACACGCCCTATGGGCAGTGGATTTACAGGAGATGACTAGAAACAAACACTGCTCTGAGATTGTCCACAAACCAGACTAAACCCAAAAAGGTCGGCACTGCCTCGTCAAGACCTGCACTTCTACTTCTCTCTATCTCCTAAAATTTCTAATTCCAAAGTAAAATGTAACCCAAGGGAGTCGAAGCTTTTATGCGTCCTTATTGGTTGAAATGCGCCTTTGTCTCATCCAGCGCAAGTCTATTGATGGATATATGTGGCAAATGAGGGCTTAATTCGGGTGGACGCACTGATCAGTCTTGATCAGTAGCTCGACTATCCCAAAGGTGGTGCCCACTCCACCAGAACTCAGTCCCAATGACCAGCAAAGTTTGCAACTGGGAACATGTCTAAATGAGCAAGGCTACTGCGAACAAGACTAGAAGAGCAATGGTTGTGGTTGCTGCCCTTAAAGTTGAGCTGCTACTTGGTAAAGTCGGGTAATGATCTGCATGTGGAAGTACGCAGTGGTCGCCGTTGAACAGGACATGGCTAGGGAACCCCCAACCGTTGGCTAGTGTGAAAGCCGAATCTTTCCGAAACAAGATTTCGGATTGCACATTCCCACTTGGTCCAGCTTGCATGAGCATGTCATTGTAATACTTGACTCCCCAAAAGATGGCCGTGTCGTCTGCCGAAGGTGACAACCAACAGAGCATCAGTAATCTTGGAGCACTTTGTGATAAGGAAATCTGACTATCTCTTTCCTTGTCGTTTCTCAGTACTTGTCCTATTTTCCGTCGGCAGGGAATAGGAAATGAACTCTTCTAAGCCCAGTCTTATCTCCTGCTCAGAACTATGAAATCTTTTCGTTCTTCCACAGAGTGAATCACATGTACTTACTTGTAGGTCCGTACGCTGTCAGCGGTTTGTAGCTGAAGCTGAAAGATTCGGTGAAGTTTTTGAAATTGGGATGTCGAGCCACCAGATTCCAGAGCGTGTAATTCCTAGAAATGTCACGGTTCGTGATAGTGATCTTCACCCTCCAGTATTCCTGATAGTTGAGCTTAATATGCCAGTGGATCTTGACTGGACACATATCATTTGTGCAATAAAGCATATCTGGTTGTTGCTGAAGGTTGTTGTTCTTCGTGCTATTGAGTGTCAGAGGAAGGTGTGGGTCAAATCTGGTATTAACAAAAAAAAAAAAAAAAAAAAAAAAAAACATTTCAGTATGAACGGCCGCCAACTAGCGTACAACTTCGTGATCGAAATGCAAGGTCATCAGTAAATGCTCATCTTTCACATTCTGGATATCGAACCTTGCTTGCTTTCAATTGCAATTTGTCTCCTGAGACACCTAGACAGACGAGAACTGAGTCAGAAACAAACCGATTTATGCACCGCTGATTATTGGTATCCGCTCCATTGGTGGTGATAATCGGCGTTGTGTTGTTCGTAGGACAGTCACAAGCGCACTTCTCACATGGCACAATTGTTTCATTGTAAAAGGCTGAGAAAGACACACAGCAAGTTGCTGCTTTGTGCGCCAATTGCTCAGTATACGAACATTTCACCGTCCAGGTCACTGTTGACATTCAAGTAGCTGCTTTGTAAGCGATGACTTTTGTATCACTAGTTGTTGTATCCAATCAAGCAAGTGGTTCTAACAATTCAAACAACTGTTTGCGTGATATAGCTCATGACACAGATTTTTTTTATCGGTGCTCGGAACTGTGCTTTGGAAACAATCATGTTGAAATGCTTGAGGTACTTACTGAAGGCTTCCGTAATTCGTCTTCCACTGGGAGACAAGAATTTAGTCTTGGGCACAACTTTGGCACTGCTGCAAGTATATCCTGGGCCTGGGGTCATAATAGTGAAGTTTTGCGGTAACTTGATTGTGGTGTTTTTATTACCAGTATTGCCAACAATGACCTGGAATGATGCGACCGAGGTTTTGGGATCTTGCATGTAGGACGACAACACACCCCCTCTACAGCAATTCGCAGTTTGCTGGTTGTACGGAACGCCGGGAAGTAGGTCAATCACCTCTGGGGTTCTTTTGCAGCAATGGGGCAAATTTCCAGTGAACTTTGAGCAATCACCTTGCTCTCTTGTCTCAGCACCAACCATGTTCCATATTACCTCTTTCTTGGTGGCCCATGTCCATCCCATTATCCAGCCAGGAGCCTGGATATGCCGATACAGCTGCCAGTTGGACATGGTCACGATAGCCTGCATCGTGTCCTCGTCAAGTAAGTCAAAAGATATCTTACTGTAGAGCAAATCAAACACCATTGAACTTTGAAGCAAGGAAAGAAAGGTACAAGGAGAGGCTGGAGATTGTGAGGTTATACCCGGTACCCGTCTCCTGTCCACTCAACAACATCCCATTTGATGGTGATGTTTCCCTCAGGATCAATTGGATCATATCCTGCATCTGCAACAGTTGAAAGATAGATGTTATTACAACATACGAACTCCGAAAATACGCTCACAATACGCGACAGATTCGAAGGAAGAAGCCAGATGCTACCGTAGAATGCAAACAAGATGCTCACCGGCATGTTGGAGGGTCGCGAGGAAGACGAAAGCCACTGCTAAGCAGTGTGCTTTCGAAATCATCATTTCCCTCGGCGACAGAACCGGCAGAAGCGCTCGATGGCAAGAATGACGTCAGAATGCAAGAGTTTGATTATCCAGATAAACCTACCATGGCCAATTGCATTTTGTCAGATTGCCTACAAGCTTTGATTATCAACATCTCGTTGGGGTGTATAAGGTCCGACGCACCGACAACATACCAAGTGAAAATTACAATTCTAATCCCTTATTATTAGTGAAGATGATACTTGACTGTCCACTCTCCTTTCTCACTGCTGAGATCAGAAAACAGTAGGATTGTCAAAACCAGGGCATTGCCATTATTACAGCAATACTTGATGCGTGTAACAAGCATCATGTCCAAAACAACCTGAGGCATCAAATGGGTCCTCCAAGTGCCGGTAAAACAGATCAAACGAAACAGTTTTGGGGCAGTCACTTGACGGCGAAATGCTTTTGAAATAGGGAAACTTAATCATCACACATCCTCTCAGCGTCAGGATGTACTGGCTGCCTTCAGGCGAAGCACAGCATCATGGAGCGGCACACCTACGAATCATTCTCTAAAAGCTGGTTTTCTGCAGAAACTTTGATACTGCCTAGCTTACCACTACAAGTATCGCTTAGCACTGATCGGCAGCCATCCTCCTGGGACGTGGAGGTCTTCACCAGTTCTTATAAAAAGCTAAGTGTGAAGTTATTTTTCCATGGAGAGGATGATGCCACTCTAACAAAACTTCAAGTGATGGCCACCACCATAGAACGCCTTATTCACCTGCACGAAGAAAATCAACCATCCCTCATTAGAGACATAAATGGCTATCCTGTACGGACCACAGCCATAGAAATGGGATAGCCTTCTGCATATCCCTGAGAAGCCCAACTCCGAGAGGCAGCAAAACTGAGGAACCACCTGCTGATGCGCGCAGGCGGCGAAATGCAACACTGCACTCGTGCCGACTTCGCACTAGCTACCTTCCGTCTGGAGACACGGTTGGGTGTGTCCGGGTCACAAAAACGGGCGAATCCAGCTCTGTATCGATCCCAAATGCGGTCACCCAATATGACGGTTTCACCACCAGCGGACCAAAACCTCCTGACAGCACACAACGGTCCCTCAGTGACGACTCCCCATTCCGAATCGCAGCAGCTAGCGGTTTCCAACGCTCCACCAGTAACCCACACCAACAATGGTCGTTGCAATGCTTCTCCTCGCCTCGAGATACCGCCTCTCGTACTCCTTCTTTCACCTCCTAATGCAGCGTAACATGCAGCAGGGGAGAAGTACTCAATAGCTCACAGAGCTGTGAGAGAACAAACAGCTGGTCGAGAGAAACAGAGAGGCGAAGGAAGGAAAGAAGGCAAGGAAGTTCTGGCATCACCGTTTGCCACCCTAGGCCTCCACGCTGCTCCCCTTGAGACTCCTTGAAGCTCCTGATGCTGCAGCTTTCCAACAATCAATGCTGACAAAGTACATCACCCCCTCTTGAATAATATCATGTAGGTCATTGTAGACTGTTCAATCAAATGCATCTTCACTTATTGTTCTCATACAGATACATTCGTGGCCCTATGAGAGAAAAAAATATATATCATTCAGTCCCCAGAAAGGAGACTTCTTTACCTTCTTTTTTATTCTGTTTTTGTTGTTGTTGTTGTTTTAAAACAAACAGCCCTTTTGCAACTGTAAGGAAGCGTATGTTTCAGCACCCAATCTGTCTAGGCCTCGTGGATGCTATGAACAGAACACACCTAACTTATAAACTATGCCATCAAGGGAGGCCATGTAGCATATCAGTACAGGATTAGTCAGCAAAAATATCAATGCTGTACCAGGCTGTGAGCTGTGAGTACAATGGTATATATCTGTCCCTCTCTAGGAGTGTCTCCAGCCATACAAATTGCTGTTGCTCCTCCTTTGCTGCAAAATCAGACGGAGATTATTCTACCAAAACTATACAGCAGACTTTTGGTCAGAATATACAACCTGTTTGTGGGTTACTAAGGGCGATCTAAATCATACCACCATTGCCCTGATTTCCTACAACGCATTGCAAAATACAGGAAAATTTCATATATTTAAATTTGAAAAAATAAACTGAATTAATGCACCTTCCTGATATCACGAACGAAACCAGATGATTCTCTAGTATCCTGATTTAATTCCACTGAGTGCCTGGATTTGTCAGGATCTTTCAAAGGTCTCTGGATCTCAGTAAACTTTAAGTTCTTATTTTTCTATTGCAAAAAGGTTGGCATGGGATTTGTGGGTGGTTGTGAGCTGCTCAGGAGAAGCAATCTCTCTCACTCTCATCAAAAAGCGTTGCAATTATAAACCAAGGTAGGCAGTGTGGGATCCAGGCATGAACAATAATTTTGTTCCAACTTCTTTCATCCAGAATTTTCCTGCTGGGTTACAGAATGTTGTTGGAGAGGAGGGTGTAGTGGTAGAAGACTAGTTGTAGCAGCAGTTGTAGAGTAGTATTCACCCAAAGGCTTTGAAGGGGAGTAGAGGTTTGATGTGGGTCCCATTCCATTCCATTCGACTCTAGTGGCTTTTTCCCCGTCTGCTATTTTTTTTCCTTTCTTATGGAGGGCTTTCAACTTGTTCTGACAGCCTTCAATTATGCAGGGCCCACAATGAGTGAGAAGCTCGTACCGCATGACTTTGATGGCAGTGCCCAAGCCCAAGTCCGAGCCTTACATTTCCCTGCCTCCGTGCCCTGCATAATTGAATGTGGGGTTTGGACAGGCCTGTAAACTATCTCGCAGTCACTGCCCCTACACTAACCCTCTTTCGTATGTTTGTTTTTAAAACAAGAAAAAAACTAACTAAAGCATTAAAATAAAACTAGTACCCATTTAGTTTCGAAGTCTAGTATAAAGCTGCGGTTCTCAAAATGACCAACACAACTAATTATGTGACGCGTTATAATCGTGCACATCATCGTTACTTGTGAATGTGAGAATGATGTCTATTAACGTAACAACACAGAGACGTTGATGCATCGATAGAATGAACATGAAATGCCCGACTTTACTTGAGAAAAAGCGCTAAACTGCTAGCGGAAGCAAGATTGTGATGAAGTGACAATGTGTGTGAGTGTGTTGGCTAGGCTCACTGCAAAGTGCTTTTGTTGGAAAGCGTAGGTCGTCTTCTCCCTCCACAACATTCGCAGCTAGGTTAAAGAGGCGAGTCTATGAATGTGGAATATTCTACCACGAACAACATGTTTGTGACAGCAATCTCTCGCCGGAAATTGCCAAGGCGTCCACATCGACGGTAAGCTCCGATGTACCGGCCGAATAGTTACCCCTCATGGCTGAGTTCTGGCAGCTTCTACATTCAAGATCTTAGACTTACATCCCGATGGATGCAGCTTTCGAGGAGCTTGGCTTTTCTTCAAAACCCACCTCTTCTCACAGTTTCTCACAGTTTCTCACAGTTTCCTATGATGACTATAGTCGCAACAAACAACCCATAATGCGATTTCTACACTAGTCGGGAGGATTAATGTCTCACTCAACGGAAGAGGCCCTCCAGATAAAAAAGACTTCAGATAAAATATGTGACAATAGAAGTCTTTCGGTGTCGTTGGACGAACAACCGTCTTATTCGTTCGTTGTATTGAGAGAAATTGTATGACGGATAGGAACGTTCTAAGTATATTTGTGTGCGAAGGCAGGGAATCTTCGCTGATAATGGTTTCGTTCAACGGAAACTGGGATTTAGGAGCACAGACCGTCTCGGTTCGTCGAATTTCGAGGAATTGTGGATTCTGCATGACGCGTTGAGGGAAGTGATTCTGAGTTGTAGTTCATAGACTTTACGGCACCGATCGAGCTCATGAAATTGAGCTCCGACGGTTTTTACATATTTCACGAGTTAGAAGAAGGCTTGGTCACGAGGAGGTACCGATTGCAATGGTTGAGAGCTCTTGATGTTCTATCGAATTACGATTTTTGGTACACGCCTGAGTACTAAAAACAAGTATTCTGGATGATGGAGGGACAGGCGCGCGGATAGCGTACTGCCATTGTCAGGTCTCTGGAGAATCTGCACCTTCCTGTTCTTGAAATGATCGCGAATACAAAATCTCAGCTGCCAGACGTTGAAAGTTGGATGCGAGTGGAGGTCAAACACTCTGCGCGCAAGGCGACTGCACATTAGAGAACAATGCTCATGAACACCATGTGTTCATAGAGACTTAATCTGACAAGGTTGGGATCAGCGTTATCTGCGGGGAAAGGGGACCAATCTAGGTGTTAATTATATGCAGTTCTAGTCTCGTTCTTGCATTGTCATTGAATCCCTCTAGCGAAACCACGCATTTTTTGAGGAAGAGTTTCTACTTGCGACACTCAAGGTGCTCAACGCTATTTAATGCTCTCCATTTATATTAACAACTAGAAGATCGATGAGTGCCAATTTGTACACCTGGCCAGATTGCTGAGCAAATGCTATCAAAAGATCTACACAGCTGCAGGCATCTCTGAGTTTCATTTCAACACAGCTTCTTCAGATTACCACGAGAGATCAAACTCGAAAGGCCTACATGCTCGAACTGGCACATCCATTGCCATCTTTGCAGAAGCCCTCCTCACAGTAAGGCTCTGCAATCTTCGCCGTTTCCTGAGCACCTGTTCAAGAAATGCATGTGTTTCTGCAAAGATCGGGAACAAATATGCAATCAAAAACCCGAAAGAGATCGTCGTCATTACTTGGTTACAAATCCAGACACAGAGTTGAGGCAAAAGTGCACACACAGTTGATGCACGGTTTGATCCGAAAGTCTCTTTACTCCATGAACTATTTCACATCCATACTCATGACGATCAATTGACGTTCACCATGTGCCGAGACCTGATTGTGGACCAAACTGCAAGTCTTTTACCTACGACAACCCTTCGATAATCTCCACTTTGTTTGCAGGTAACCATACAAGTCCAGAAGTCTGTGTAGGATTGTCAGTTACCGAACAAACGCAAAAGACGGTGCTGTAGTTGCACAGGGAATGCGATCAACCTGTTGTGGTGCTTTTCAAGTTGAAAATCGATGCATGTTCGGAGACCAAGGTCTGTCTTCGAACAATGTGTGGGAATAGAGAAATACTTCTCAGTCGTAGGTAAGCATGCTATTCGTGCTCTTTACAAACAGCATATTATGTTGGAGAGATTAGAAAACAGTATGGTCCTTTGAATATCTTCATTAGTGGGTTTTATAAGAGGGTTTCAAACATGGCCTTTTCAGGTGATATTTTACCCTTGATGCAAGTTCAGAGTATCCAGTGATATTTTGAAATATTACTTGATATTTCACCAAATCACTTGATATTTCATCAAATCACCCACCTTGCAAGGCGGGTGATTTCGAAATCAAAACATCAAAAGATAGGGGGGTCAAATATCAAAAACCGCATCAATCACCTCAACTCTTTGACTCCATACTAGGGAGCAATAAAGTTTGAATCAGGGAGTTAATAAAGTTTGAATAGTGATGTTTTGGATTTGATATTTCTAGTGGTCCTAGAAATATCAAATATTGTATCCCAATTGTTTGGTTTTGCAAAGTGCCATGCTTGAAACCCTCTATTAATTCCCATAACAACTCAAAATACATTTATAGTATATGTGTTGCAAAATTGCAAGGTAGGTCTTGCCAAGTAGCTATGGAGGGTTGATATTATGTAAGTAACTTAGATTTATGTACCAATAGAACAAGATCTGTGGCATTTGTTTGTGTTAGGCTTTTAATTACAATAAACCCTTTGCATAACTCAATTAGATTATTTAAATGATTCAGGAATTGCATCCATTTTAAAGTTAATTAAGCAATTCTTAACCTTTACTTCTTCATGTTTAAGCAACCAAACAAAGTATGTGGTATGTTTAATGTTAATTTGATATGAATGTTTATAAAATTGTGGATTCTTTATAGTAAGGACTTCATTTAATATTGTGTATTTTTTGTGATATACAAGTATAACACATATTTATTCGTTAATACACATCCCTGAATGATAACTTGCACATTAGTATTCAACAAGGATTTTTTTTATATAATTAACACATCAATTAATATAAATTTAATAACATATTTTGCTAATTAACATGTGCAAATCAAATAACTTGAAACATTAAATTTCAAAGAAGAGATGTTAAAAAAATTATAATTATTTTTTATTCTGAAATAATATTACTATTGTGATTTTAAAAAAAATCGTCATATGAATTTGAATTGATTTTTTTTTATTTTTAAAAATTACATTCTTTGGAACAATAAATATGAGTTTGAATATTTTTAATTTGAATTATGGCCATATCAAAGCTTCCAATGCAATGCAACAATCGACATAATAGTATTAATTTAAATTACAAAATAAATATAAAAATACTAATGAATTAATATAAAAATATAGATAGTCAAATCAGTCATAATATTAATATATATATATATATATATATACACACACACACACACACACACATATATATATATATATATATATATATACTTACATACATACATACATACATGTTTATACATCTATTTAGTACAAAAAGGTGTAAATTATATCAGAAATAATCATCTCTTATATGATTTATTTTTGCAATCTATAAAATATATATTTTTTGATTTTTTTGATAAACTATGTATATATATATATATATATATATATATATATACATATATATAAACTAAATTTACAAGATTAAAGAAGAAATTAATTTCTATTATTGTGATAAATATTCGAATTAAAAATAGAAAGTGATATAATCATAGGTTACTATAAGAAAGTTTTGAAAATAAACTTGTTTTGATAAAATATTTTCTAACAATTATTTCCTGATTTTATATAATATTTTACTGTGGTATATTTATAAAAAAAAACTATAAGTTAAAAATACAATACAAAAGTGAGAATATTTAACTTAGGACAACATTTACTTGGTCATTTTTACTTAGAGACTAAGAAAAAATGAAACTCCACTTTTAAAGAATTATTATTATTATTATTATTATATAATTTTATTTTTTACTAAATTTAAAAGATTTATATTGATAGATATACTTTTAATAAAATCTAAGGAAAAAAATCTAAGGTATTAATAATACCTTATGGAATTTACAAAAATGACTTGCCCATGTATTTATAATTCTTAATATTTTGTGTACAATTTTGTGTACACAATACATATATTTCTTTTTCTCTCTCTTTCTTCTTTACGTCTAAATTTTAAATTATATAAAATATTTGTTTATTAATAAATTTCATGGTGAGTTTAAAATTCTCCAAAAGTCTTAATTTTGCTATGTTTTAGAATAAATATTTTAGAAAGATTATATGCTTTTGCACATAATTTAAAACATAGCAAAAGCACATAATCTTTCACAATGAAACAATTTGTCCTAATGACTTTCACCTTGTGTTTAAACACCAGAGAAGTTTCTTCTGCTTGCTTTTGCTTGCTCGCTCGCTGCTTCTCCTGTTGTGTGTGTGTGTGTGTGTGTGTGTTGAGATTACTTGCATGTGTTGTTGTTTTGTATGGATTATTTGCATGTGTTGTTGTTGTTTTGTATGGATTATTTGCATGTGTTGTTGTTGTTGTTGTGTGTTGAGATTACAAGCATGTGTCATTGTTGTTGATGCGTAAGTGTTAGCGTTACTTGCATGCGCTTACAAAAGCCTTGAGCAAGCTTTTCTCATGCTGAGGTTGGACTGTGCAGCGCTAAACACCTTCGTTGTTTCTGTTCACTGGGTTGTGGGATGGTGTGCTGCTATTTGACAAGTGCAAGCTCAGCTGGGTTCCCTTTCTGGTGCTGTAGACGCATTCTGAAGGCCCACACAATGTTTTCGCGCACATTTCAAGTTGTGGGGGGCTATGGTTTTTCTAGGGTTTTGGAATGTCTATTCTAACAATGGCGCATTCGGAGTCCAGTATTCGCATCCAATAGATCCGATTCTTTCTCCTGGTGCAAGAGCCTTCATTTGCTGGAGTTGTCTGAGGTTTGAGCAACGTCATACTGGCATTCTTCTGTTGTCCTTTGCTGCTTCTTTATTTTGATTTTGATGTTTGCAACTTGGTTTTGGTTTTGCAATTTTTGAAACAGTTGGGGCTTAAAACATGTTAAGGTCAATCCGTTCGTGGAAAACTCTGTTCGATTTATTGTATCACAATCATTCCCTCATGTGTCATTGTTCTTGAGAATTTTACTAAATCCCATAAGAGAGGCTAAAGGAAATACTCACGAGCACTCTATATTAGCATGAAGTTTGTGATTTTGCATATTACATTGTGCCAATGTTTTTTTTTGCGTTTGACGCGAAAATTCTCGGTGAATTTTCTAGTATGGTGGATGTTGCTGATTGTTTGCTGTTCATCTCATTACGGGTGAGATAATGTATGTATATTTTTCTAATTTTATTTTCTGGCATCCAGTGGTCAATGCTCGTTGTGATGTACTAAACAAAAAAAAATTAAATGGAGGATTCCATGCGAAGGAGCACTAGGGTTTATCCTGGACGTCGCAAAATCCAACCTGTTGCGTTGATGAAACGACCAAGTCGGTGCTTATCTCCTGCTCTTTAGTCATCAATAGTATCAGTGTTTATAAGTTAACGTCGAGTTTTCTTTGCTCAAATCTGTTCCTGATGGAGGACCCAAAACCAGAAAGCATTGAACCTTGGATCCTACAAAGCATTCTAACTTCTTAAATAATCAAAGCTTCAAGGACATTCAAGGATTATGAGAGTAGGTCTATAATTCAACAATGATATGGATTTCTTAAGCTGCGTTTTCAAGCAAAGCTAGAACTTCTGCCTGAAGCTTCACTGGAAACTTGTTTCACGACACTTTTCTTCGTATCGAGAGACATGCATTGAGTTTAAAACTCTCAGCCCAAAACGATACATATCCCTGGTATGCAAAAAAATTCAAGGAAATACACATTTTTAACTAAACAAAGTTGCTCCAAGTAAGGTCTTCTTGAGGCTGAGTTAAAGTTCAGCAAAGAGGGGCCGTTCTGGTGACATACATATTGCCATCTCCTTTACAAACGTCGTAGTGTAGAAGCACGACTACCTGTATGATAAATTCTGTTTATATTCGCCAAAGAAAACCCAGTTTTCACATTCTACCAACCGCCCATCAGATATTCTCTCTGTAGGAAGCTTTGCACCCTACATCTTCATGACGGCATACGATCGATTCACGCTAGCTTGCGAACTCCTTCAACCCTTCAATCAACAAACACCCCACATTGTACGAACCTCCTGTAATTACTATAACAAACACGTTACTAAGGAAATTTCTACACATGCATCAAGAGCACAGCGGCAGCAGCGATGGGAGGCAAAGTCCATTAGAAGCCACTTCATCGAGATAGCACTTCATGACGCTTGTTCATCGTGTGCAGAGGGAGATCTACAACTGGGTCCTGGCGGTTGCGCAACGAGGATAAAATGTATGAATCGCGCTACAAGGGCCAGATAAACATGCGTCGCAAAACCAAACTCCTCCAGTTCGGCCTAGGTGGAGCAGCACCCATCGATATATCATTCATCTATTTTCCAGGCTTTAACATCCACAACTGCACCACATGTACCAGCGTTTTCATTCATTCACTGCCTGTTTTCTTCCGCTGTAGCAACGTGAGACTTGACCCTACTGCCGAGTCTGCTGCGTTCAGGGAGGCCTGGTTTCCTCAACCCTCTGGAAGCTCACACTTGGAGTTTTGCTTTGGAGCTCTCTCGGTGGTGGTGCGTCTTTCTTCGGTCCCCTTTGGTCCTCGTGCTTGCGGATGTAGCTGCAGGCCGCTCGCGAAGGGGGTCGTCGCCGTTACTGCCGCTGCTCGCCATGGCTCGAGCCATGGCTCTGTCTCTCCTGCTTCTCGTCGCCTGCTTCAACCTCGCTTCTGCTGCCGACAGTCTCACTGTTGTCCGAGCTGATCGTAAGGTGCGCTTCGTTTGGTACTAGTCCCTCAATGTGGGGATGTTTTACTCTCTGAGTATGGATCTGGGGATTTTTAGGGGTGTTGGTTGGAGAGATCGGGTGTCTTTGGTGGTGGTAGAGGGAGCTCGTGTTGTGTCGTCGCTGACGATCTTTAGGGCGATTTAGGGTTGTGGTATTGTATTCGGATTTTGTTTTAGGGTTTTTTGGGGGTATGTTTGCAGCACCAGCGGGTTTAGTGATCGGTGAACTATTTTTTTGTCTCAATGTTGAGTTGTAACCATCGATTGGTATTGACGTGGGTGAGTGTATTGGTGGGGGTGATATTTTGTGTTGGGGTTTGCAGGTTGATCTGTTGACGCAGGTTGTTAGAGTCTCTACTGCATGGAAGGTGCAGAACAATGGAGCAGAGCCGGTGAGAGAAGTGAAGTTGGCATTGACTTCAGAGCAGGCGGAGAGAGTGGCGTTTATGGAGGTTGTTATCAAGGAAACAAAGGGTAAAGGAAAGAATGCCGCTGTTGGTCTTTTATTACCGGTGATTCGTTACTCTCAAGAAGGTTCCGTGATTGTCTACACCCTTGCTTTGCCTAGGGAAATCAAGGAAGGAGAAATTGCGACTTTCGAGAGCTACGTGGCTCTCACACACCAATTGAAGCCTTTCCCTGAAGAGATTACACAGTCCGACTCTCAGCTTGTGAAGTATCATGATACGGCATACATCCTGTCACCGTACCCTGTCAAGGTGCAAACAACCATGTTTAAACTTTCTAGTTCCAGACTCGAGTCCTTTACTAAGGTGAATCCAACTAAAGTAGCCGACACAGAGGTTCGTTATGGACCATACGAGGACGTAGAAGCTTTGGAAAGGAAGCCGATCACCCTTCATTTTGAGAATAACCAGCCTTTTGCAGTGGTGGAGGAGCTGGTGAGGGAAATTGAAATCTCACATTGGGGTAATGTTTACATCACGGAGAATTACAACAAGCTTGCTCACCAGGGAGCTCGTCTTAAAGGTGGCTTCTCCAGGTTCGAGTATCAGGCGAGACCTGGTGCGAGTGGGGTATCAGCCTTCCGGCACCTACTTGCTAAGCTTCCTGTGCACGCCAATTCTGTGTACTATCGGGATGAGATTGGCAACATTTCGACGTCTCATTTGAGATCTGACTTTCGAAGGACGGAGCTGGAGCTCGAACCTCGATATCCTCTTTTCGGTGGCTGGAAAGTCCCCTTCACACTGGGATACAGCGTTCCTCTCCAAGATTTGGTGTTCAAGGCTGCTGATGGTTCTCGGTACCTTAACATCAGCTTTGGCAGCCCATTTGGCAACATTGTGGTAGACAAGCTGATTCTCAAGGTTGTACTCCCGGAAGGATCGTATGACGTTTCTGCAACCGTTCCTTTCCCAGAAGGATCGTTTGAGCAGAGGCAAGAGAAGAAGTTCTCGTACTTGGACACGGTCGGAAGGACAGTCCATGTGATCGTGAAGAAAAACTCTGTTATGGAGCATCAATTCAAGAATGTTCTGGTTCATTATAGGTTTAATCCATTGGGCATGCTGGTCGAGCCTCTGATGCTGGTGCTGGCTTTCTTTGCGTTTTTTGCCTCCTGCATTGCTTACACCCACTTTGACTTCACCTTGTCCAAGTCAACTTCGGCGTATTTAGCCCAGGTACAGCGCGACCAGGTTATCGATGTAATTTCAAAGCTGCAGAAGGTGTTGGGGATTCGCCAGACAGCAGAAGAGCGCCTGGAGGCATCGTTGAAGGACGTTCTACGCACAGGGGACATTACTGCTTGTAAAGCTGACCGTAAGAACGCAGATGCGGTCTGGAAGAGTACGTCCAAAGATCTTAAGGCACTCTTGGATACCCTCCAGTCAACCATGAAGACTGTACCTGGCAAGCCTTCCACGACGAAACCTTCCGTTATTGTGACTAAGGTGGAAACCTTGTTGCTGAAAGAGAAGGAGATGGTTGAGAAGTTGCAGCAGAAGCAAACGTTTATTGTGGATGCTTACGAGCGGAAATTGAGTGGTAAAGAAATCGATGCCCGCATCGCTCCTGTCCAGGAAAAGTTGGAAAGCCTGAGGCAGGAAGTGTCTAATCTGCGCTCTTCATTAGAGGACTAGCGTGATAGATCTTTGCGTAGCAGAGGGACCCCTTTTGATGATGTTGGAAAACAGGAGGTCAAGAGTGGCTGTAGCACTTTCCGGGACTGAAAAAAAAAAAGCTTCTTGAGCTACCCTGTTGAACGAGGTTTAGTTAGCAAGGACCGATTAGGTTAAGACATCAAATAGTAAAGTCGAGCAGTGCCACTGAAATACACTGAAATATGGAGTCTTGTAACTCAGCTCTCTGTTCCTGGCTCTTACTTATAAAATATGTAAATGCTGGCTTTTGCTGCTCCTTCTTGGATGACTAAATGTGGAATGCTTTACACCCAATGTTCGAACAACTACAGTACACCCTTGGAATATGGAACTCTTTTGATAAATGTACTGGTTTCACTGTTTTGACATTTAGTTTTACTTTCATCGAACTTGTTGCGAAGTTGGTGCCGCGCCATCAGTGTATCTGCGGACTATCGTCTTGGGAACGAAGTGCTCTGGTAACTTGAAATTGCCCCAAGCAGTTGCAGGTATCATCACCTTCACACAGACGAGCATAAAACTTAAAAAGTTAGGCGAAGTAGTTGCGACATCCCGTTTTAGCTTCCCTGCCAGGATAGATTTCAGGTCTGAACGTCACCATCAAATCTGGCAGGGTGGGATTATTGATTGTCTCAAGGCCAGCAGTTACAATCATCTCCGCATGTCTAATGATCAGAAGTCTTTCCTTTCTCACTGCGTACTTTTCAGTCATTCATTGTTACTACAAATCCTTCGTCACTAGTACATACAGCCACCAAGATCTGGCCCTGAATGTAACATTTAAATCTGGGCATGCTGCGCATGAGTTCAATTTAATCTCTCCCCTCTGCTTCAGTAGGTGACATGCAGGACTCTAACCAACACTCGCGATATTACTTAGACAGACAGAATATATATAGATAAAAGTAAATAATTGAAAAAAAAGTATACTTTTTTATTTAGCGTTGACAAAAAAAAAGTTACTAACATGTAATCATGATGATATTTCTTAATATTTATTAAATATATTAAAAATTTATACAAATTTTATTTTTTAAAAAATTATATTATATATATAAATAATAAAATTATATATTTATTACTTGTATATCCGCGTTCTTCCTCATCTGCGAATACAATTCCAGATTCAAGTGTGAATACTCTAGGTACGCTGTTGAATGACATGCGTCATCTACTGAATCTGCGTTTCGCTCCTTTGAGCAGCTGTGTCTGATGGTCTTGCTTGCAAATTTCGCGGGCGAGATTGACGAGCTTAAATATTCTTTCACATCCTTTTCATGGGTTTTCGGAAGCAGAATCGATTTTCAAGGACACGAATTGGCTATTCATTCGGTGTGAATAATTTTCTGCAGCTGCCAGGTGATCTCTACCTCTATCTGCATACTATTATTGAAGAGGTGTGTCATTACCATCCTCTCTACATTCTTTGCCAACTAGTGTTCAATGGTGATGGTTATGCTCAGAATGGATGACATTCATGATTGGATAACATTTGGGTAACAATAAGGTTACCAATTCTATCAAATTCAGATCACTGAAGAAACCAATCATTCATGATTCAAAAAAAGGACGAATGGAATCTGCAGTCAGGATTCTATCACAGCTTTACTTAAAGACCTAATTTGCAACATTCGATCCCTAACTTCAACTCTCGGCAATAAAATGGAAACATTTCTAGATACATGTGAAGCAAATACCGCATTGTGATAATCCAATGGTACCGTTCAACCATTCATCAGTAGAGAAGATCTCAGCGATTAACATGATTGCTTCCAAAACCTTAAACACCCACAAATACACACACAAACACACAAATACAGCACAACTTCGGAGTAGAGGGTTCCAAAAAACAAAACCAATCATATATTCAATTTAGCATCCAGCACCACAATGCAGGGTGTGGTTTGTTTTCTTTTTTCTTCCCGTTCTCAAAAGGAAGTAGATCTCCTGACAAGCATTAATTTACATGAAAGGGACGGTTGCTCATCCTGGTTTCGTGATCTACAGTGGGGGTGCCATGAGGGCTATGAATTCTCCGGGTGCTTGGTTTTTCCAAGCATTACACGCTGAGCTTCGGTCGAATGTCTGGTCCAGCGAAGGGCTTCGTGAACTCATCAGCACACGCCATGCGGATCCGCTCGGGCGTGGCCGGTGTGTCCAGCACAAACCATCCATTGTGCCCACTGTCTTTCCTTGCTGCCTTGATAGCGTCCTTGATAGCAAACAGGGCAGACGTTGCTAGGAATAGAGGTGGCTCGCCTACAGCCTTGGAAGAATGAATCGCCTTAGAATTCGGCGCATCCTAAACAGATTTGTACAGCAGGAAAAAGAATTCAGTACCCTTTTCTATCCAGAATCCCCAGATCCTAAAATTGGCTTACGAACGCAAATTAGACTTTAAAAAAAATCTGAAAAAGTGTGATCTTTTACCTTCAAGAGGGAAACCCTGAAGTCGATAGGAATGTCGTTCACGGTAGGCAGTTTATATGTGCCAGGACCTTGCGTGAAGAGATGACCTGGTCTAACCCAAGGATGAGCAGAGTCACCCCATTTGAGCTCCTCCAAGATTGCCCACCCGAGGCCTTGCACATAACCCCCTTCCACTTGGCCGATGTCGATTGCGGGATTTAGAGAATGTCCCAAGTCCATGACGATATCTACTCGTGGCAAGTGGAAATCTCCTGTTAGGGTATCGATTTCAGCCACAGCGAAAGCTGCTCCAAATGTGAAATAGCTGAAGGGCCTTCCCTTGCCGGTGTCCCAGTCCATACCAATGTCGGGTGTGATGTAGAATCCGTGTGCTGATAGATCGATCCGCTCCAAATAGCACGCTGTCACCAACTGCAAGACGGACATAATTCAAACACGACGATCAATTGCATTATTTTTTTGCATTCAAACTGAACCCACTGATTTATAATGATTAAAGTTCATAATGTCCCGAGAAGGAAAATAGAGCTGCGAAACCATACCTCGGCAAACGAGGAATAGTTGTTCTTAGAACTCAGCTCGCTCATACGGGCCGTGATCTGCTTGCAAGCATCAAGCACAGCTCCTCCATACATGTCCGCACTTGCGGAAGCAGCAGTAGGGGAGGAATTCGGAACCTTATCTGTGGCAGTTTCGGATACAAATACATCCTTCAGAGGGATACCAAACTCAGACGCTGCAATTTGAGCCATCTTTGTGTGAAGTCCCTGGCCCATTTCCACACCTCCGTGTGTGACCAGCACCGTTCCGTCAGTGTAAACTTGCACAAGAGCTCCAGCCTACATCCAGAATATCACAGAGTTAAGGAATGCGATGTGAGAGAATTGATCGACAAGAAGTTTCAAGGTTGGCTGAAGAGGATCATTAAGGAGTTACCTGATTGAGGAACTTCGTCGTGAATGAAATACCGAACTTCGTAGGCACCATGGCCAAGCCCCGCTTCTTCCAGCGATGTTGCGCGTTGAAACTTTCTACTTCTGCTAGTCGCTTCTCAAACTCGCAAGATTTCTTCAACTCCGCCCACGCATGCCGATGCCGTGAGGCTTCCAGTATTTGCCCATAGTGCAACTCATCCCCATCTTGTTGAAAATTGAGTTCCCGTATTTCTTCAGGACGCCGTCCCACTTCACTGGCAATTCGTTCGATCCAATTCTCAACAATGAGCATGCCTTGTGGACCTCCAAAGCCTCGAAACGCGGTGTTGCTGGATTGGTTGGTGAAGCAAACCCTCCCTCGCACTCGCATGTCCTTGATGCTGTACACATTGTCGGAGTGGAACATCGCCCTCTCCAGAACCGAACCTGAAAGATCCAAAGAATTACCGCCATTGTTGTATATGTCGACATCAAGAGCCAAAATCTTGCCCTCCTTCGTGAACACAACCTGCATTTGCAACATCGAGAACAAAACACATCAGCACCTAATCCACCACGGCCAAACCTTGCTAAATTGAAGAAGCCACCTAACACAAAATTGTATACCACAGAATGAACCGTGGATACAGTATCTCTAACCTTGTATTTTCCCATAAAAGCATGCCGTTGGCCAGTAATCGCCATGTCCGTGTCTCTGTCGAGAGTGATCCTCACTGGTCTTTGCAACAAGTAGGCTGGAACTGAAGCAGCCGCAGCTATGAAGGCAGACCGTGTCTCCTTGCCTCCAAATCCACCGCCTATGCGCTTCAACTTACACACCACCTTGTGCTGAGGAATGCCGAGAACGTGAGCGACATATCTCTGATGTTTCTGAGGGGCTTGGGTTGAGGAAAGTAGGTGAACTTCATTGCCAGCATCGGTTGTCCAAACAAGAGTGCTGTTAGGCTCCAAGTAGAAATGCTCTTGACCTCCCATGCGCACTTCGCCTTCGACTGCAAGAACATCATCAGAGCCTCTTGCATTTTCAAAGAACGCATCGACATTTCCCATTTCTAGAACACGCTCTGATCCAGGATGGAACTTCTGAGCAGCCACAGCAGCATCCAAATCCAACAGAGTTGGCAGGTCTTCGTAAACAATCTTGATTTTCCGAGCTGCGTCTTTTGCGTTTTCGTGAGTGTCCGCAACGACTATGCCTATCACCTGGCCCACACAAGTCACAGTCGTCGTCGCAAACAGCTCTTCGTCATGAACTATGGCGCCAATGTCATTAGCCCCAGGTAGGTCTTTGGCTGAGAAAAAACCTTCAAACCCTGCTTGGTTCTCCGCCTCGGAGGCATCAATTGATACGATCCGTGCGTGAGGGCGGGTGCTCAAGACTAACGCAGCGTGCAGGCCGTTTGGTGGCATGGCTATGTCATCGACATATTCCGCCTCCCCTGTCACCTGAATCACAAACATTTACCATCAATTCTACTCTAACATTTCTAGGTGCAACTCCTAAAATAAGAAACGAAGACGCTTAAAAGATAGAGCCAAAACCCGAAACATCGAAACTTACCTGGAGGTTTGCAGACTGGTGCTGGAAAGGCAAGCCCACTGCAGTTCCATTTGGTAAAGTCTGGAAAACTTGAATGCCATGGGAAGGCTCCCGTTCATACGGAGTCACCGCCGACCTGTAACTCTCCGGAAGCCCATGGCTGAAATTTGCGTGTGCCTCCAGCTTATAATTTGTGAACAAGAAGAACTTGAAGAAGAAGCTGGAGATTAACGAACGCCGAAATTGAACCATCCCACCTGGTGCGTTATCAGCCATGTGAATTTCCTGTTCAAGGAGACCAAGGGCCTGGTCTAGAGTCTCACGGCTCCATGGCTTTCCTCTCAGGAACTCCTGCGTCCTCTTCGCAACTGCAACCATAGCGGCCACTCCACCATACGCCAGACACGAGTCTTGAACAATCCAAGCTCCATCAGACTCGGCAAGGCTGACACGAATTCCTGCATTGACAAGAGCGATATCGTCGTCCCGGCGATGTGCTTGCTTAAATTCTTTCACATATTCAAATGGCCGTGTGAATGGCATAAAAACACTGATGAGGATTTCATTTTCTTTCAAATCGACTTTGCGGTAACCAAGGAAGAAATCCTTAGCAGGAACTTGTCGTGGAGAAGCACCGTATCCAGCTACAGTGAAGATTGTCCCAGTAGCGATCCATAAGGGGTTCAAATCCGAAATTGGACTAGCAGTGACGATGTTCCCGCCTATGGAAGAGACGTTCCTAATTTGAGCACCAGCAAACCACCGGAGCTGCTCGATGATAGCCTTGCAACCCGATGTCTCGTCCTCATTCCGCGTTTTCACAATCTCGGAGAAAGTCTCGAAGATGTTGGTAAGCGTCACAGATGAGCCAATCTCCACGCCACTATCAATAACCTTAATAGTGGAAAGTTCCGGCACATGTGTAGTCGCAATCAGAACAGGATACTGTAGATTTTTGAACCGAACCTCAATGCCAACCTCCGTGTTGCCACCGACCATCTTGGCACTGGGATACTCCTTTTTCAAGGCTAGCAAATGCGACAACGAAGTTGGACGATACCATTTCAAGCCCAGTCTACCACGTAGAACAAGGGGTTGAGGTTTTCTTTCCTTCAGCTTCGACGGAAAGATTGGCTCCGCTCGTGGCACTTCAACGTTATCCTTCACACCTGTGTTGTTCTCCAAAACCGTTCCGTTGCTCTCTCTTTCTTGCTTCTCCTCCGTCAACGATTTATGGTCGGTGGCGGCACCGTTTCCTAATTCACCCTTGGAAGGCGTTTTCCCACAATCACAAGGCTTCCCTGTGGATGGGCAAACAAACTCACTGCCGGTACTCTTGTTTGTGGGTACACCGCCAGCAGCTGCAATCGCCTCGTTCGTGTACAGGGAAGTCTCTGATTTGGCAAAGACACGAAAGGCGTCGAGAATAGGACGGTAACCGGTGCATCTGCAGAGATTTCCTGCCAAACACTCCTCGATCTCGGCTTGCGTTGGCTTGTCCTTCTTCGTTCGGAGAAGAGAGTACATAGACATGACAAATCCGGGCGTGCAGAAACCGCACTGGGAGCCGTGTGCACTTGCAAGGGCTTCCTGCACTGGATGCAATCCCAACCGACGGTTTCCGATGCCTTCCACAGTGATCACATGCATCCCTTCCACGGAATAGATGGGCGCCAAACATGCATTGATTGCGCGATTCCTATGATACATCACAGGTACATCAGTCGTGTTTCAGGATAAAGTTTTCAAAACATGGAGCTGAACGGACATGACAAGAAATTCCGAAGACGATGGCATGAATCAATGTAACTGCAGCGACCACACTGACAGCCTCGGGAATTGGATTACACCAAGATGTTAGAGCTGTGATTCGTATGGTTAAGGAGCCTTACACAATGGATCCAGTGCTGGTATCGTAATGCGACAGCATTACAGTGCATGCACCACACCCACCCTCGCCGCAACCAAGCTTGGTTCCCGTGAGACCAATTCCTGGGCAAAAACCCATACAACTGTAAGAAACTAATTCATCCTCAAAATTAAACGCAGCGGCAATTCGTCTATCACGGACGGTTAGAAGCTACACTACAATTTTCCTCGGTTCATCGAATAAGAGCACATTAATGTTGACTAATTTCGGTTTCAGACAATTGAAGGTCGAATTTTAGGTCCCCAAATGGACAAGCCACAATTTCAAACAGGAACCAAAGGGGAGCATCAATTCACGGAAGAGGAGACAAGACAAGTACCTCGAAGGTATTCGAGAAGAGTTTGGTGGGCGATATTCGGCGGCAAAACATAACGCTTTCCATTAACATACAAAAGGATGTCCTCCTCTTTAGCATATTCTACGGGAGCCACAGCAACTCCAAGGCTGGGTGCGTCTAGAGACCCCATCCTCGCTCAACACACTTACAATTACATCCACGCCACGCACTTCCTAAATCCCTCTGCTGATCGCAGCTTCTGTCTGTCTCCAAATCAGGCCCTCGTCAGCTCCAGAACCTCAATTCAGCCCCGAATTCACAATCCCAAATCCTAATCACCGCCAATACAACTTCCACTGCGACGCACGAGTCCACTCCTTAATCTCCTAAAAACTCCCACCCTGCCAAACCCTCAAAATTCAACGACCCAATCTCCACGTCCCAGCACCAAACTAACGATCAACAACACACAGCACAAAACAACAACAACAACAACAACAACAAATAAACGGCCCCACTTGTACTCACTCGAGCCACGAAAATCTACGCCCACGAGGTATGCACAATTTCTCCGTCTCTCGCGTTGCCTAAGATATACCACAAGGCCGAGTGCTATGAGCGAGTAGTGATCCGCTCGATGCAGCACCTAGAATAGAATCCCGGGAACAACCGCAGACGAGCGAATTGAGGCGGTCAGTAGGAGATGATTTCCGAACCCAGCTTCTTCTTCGTCTTCCCCGATCCGATGCCCTCTCAATATTCCCTTCGGATGATCGATCGCCCACAGTTGAGCGTGGGGTCGCCCCTGACAACACTACCCCACTGTGTACTAACGTTACTGTCCTCTATCCCACTGCGAATCCTGGTCATGCAGATGCTAAAATTCAATCCTATCTCTGCTTCACGCTCATCCGCTTCGCTTTCCTCGGCTCGGCTTGCCCTGTCGAAGCAGTCTTCCGGATCGTATCAATCGCCTGGCACGATGAATTCGCCGCTTCGTTCCCATCGCGGCACCACGTGCCGCGGCAAATCCAAACGTGCCTCGCGTTCAGTGCCTGGCGCGGCCCAACGTTGATGAATGAAACCTTGAGGATGAAAAACTGATTTTTTTCCCGTTCGTCCGATGTTCTATGCGTTCGAAAGCCACCTCGGCGGGAAGCGGATGACGTGGCGTTTAGTATTTGGAATCGGCATACGTGGCTTGCCATTTTGTGTTGGCTTTTCATTGCGTTTTGTTGAAGTTGTAAATTTAAAAAAGAATAATTAATAACCCTGTAAAAAGGTATGATTGTCAATAAACAAACGATTAATTATTACAAATGTCATTAAATATAGGGGAGGATGAGTGGGTTGATTTAGTAAAAACTTGGGTCTATTTAACATTCCCCTAAATAAATAAATAAATAAATATATATATATATATATATATATATATTAATTTGCCAAACATAATATTATTTTTAAAAAATGGTGTTTGTTTTATTTATATGTAATTAAAGTAATAATAAACATATTGTATATCGAGCATTGTATACTAATGTATGGGATTTATTTTGGAGAAATTTTTACTTGTATATTGATTAAACATATTTATTTGTGTATTAAATTTTTTTTAATACAAAAACCTGTAAAATATATACGTTGTATGTTTTTAGTATTTCATGAACTAGAGTTCAATCTTGCATGTAATGTAACAATCATACTGAATCTTTATGCACATTATTCAATTTGAATTCATTGTAATGTCAGTTGGAATTCATTCAACTCTTATATAAAATGAATAACAATATCAACTATCTATAAATGAAAACCATCAAATATTTATTTTTATATTTATTAAAAAATACAAAAAATCGTGTAAAATATTAATAGACTTATTCAATAGATTCTTTCATATTTGTATATACTTAACCTTCTAAGTGTAAATTCAGTTAAAAGAAAATAAAATATAAAACCTAAAGAATATTATTTACAAGAAGTTCATTGTATGAATCAATGATGATAAGAGAAAAGAAATATTAATATTATAATTGATTTTTGAAGCGTTAAGCTTTATTAGTTCTAATTTTTTTTTAACCATATATTACTATGGAAAGTTAAATAGCTTTTGGAGGAAAAATATTATGCATATCGAACACAGAAATATGAGTTTACACAATAACATGCAAGAAGGAATATATGTCCATGTATACCGGGTACAATATAACTAGATGCTATGATATTTCTAATTTATGTAAGTCCTACATCAGTTAAAAAATTTACTAGTTGATTTGTTAGTCCTTTTTTCTTTCTATTTGGTATAACTTTATTACTTTGTTTCAGCTTCAGAGTAAATATTTAAAATTATTGTATATATATTTTAATTTCTTTTAAAAAGAAATCACTATTTTAGAATACACAATCACTATAATTATGAGTCCAATGAAATCAAGAGTTTCAGTCACAGAATTGTTTATGTTCTTTTTGGCTTGATATATATATACATATATATATCAAGTAGAATTTAAATTCGTAGTTTTATATTTTTTGTAATAAAATAATGATACATATATATATATATATATATATATACATTTTTAACCACCCTAAAACTTATGAAACTATATCTTATACAATGGTTATTTATATCAAATAAACAAGTAATCTTTCAAATTAAATTAAAGTAATTATTAAAAGGCTAATTTGCTTCTACTCTAATACAATAAGTATAGGATGGATTAAATTATGAGGTAGAGACATGTTGAACATACAACTGTAAAACATGATTGTATTAATATATAATGTAATTTAATATTTATTTTTATAACACATGAGAAAAACTATTCATTTATGAAGAGGTTAGTATAATTCTCACTCTTAATATGTTATAAATAACTAATATACTAAATATTCTATTTTATTTTTTTGGAAAAGAAAAGACCATTCTTTTCAGTTGACAACAATCAATATATTTTTTTATTTACAAAATCAAAGAACAATTTGTTTTATTGTAACCCTTAATATATGTTGTTTTATGACATAAATAGTACTATGATTTGTCAATCTCATCACCTTTATCTAGTTTAACATAATTTTTATCTCTTTATCCATTTTCAAGTTTGTATAACTATTCATTAATCAAATTTATACAATTAAAGATACTATTATTTGATTTTTGCAATTTTTTTTAGAAAGAGCAATAAACAACTCAGTTACACTTATTTCATTTGCTCTTGCAGCAGAGAAGATCTTGCTAGAAATGTAGATCAACATTTGATGAATAGCTAGTTGATAAATCTGATAAATTGTTGATAATATTGAACTCTCATCCCTTTCTTCATATAGAATAACTATGAAAAATATTTAATTGTTGTATTGATTATTCACACAAAGCTATTTATTTCAATACAAAAGCAGTAGAGTAACGCTTTTCCTTTAACTGAAGTAAACATCTTTTTTTTGTGACAAAGAGAAAGAATACTGTGAATGCAACCTTAGTGAAAAGATGAAACAAGGATGTAAGTATTGAAGATCAGCAAGTTCTTACTTAGTTACTACCATATAAAGATTAATCATAATAAATTGTTAATAGTCAAAAGACACCAAAGGATTAAAAGAAGTTACTATGGCGGCGGCTAGGGTTTTAAGGTGGCGGCTAGGTTAAGATGAATCTAGATCTAGATCTAGATTGAAAGGATGAAGGTGACTTTGGATGAAGTCTATGTACTTGGGATGTAAACTCCACCTATAAATAAAGGGTGTTGGAAGTAAGAGATATCTTTCTCCATACTTCTTTTAGAGTACAATCCTTGCTGATGCTAAGTGTTTGTAGCTTTTAGACTTCTTTTCTTCAATAGATTATGGGCCCACTCACATTTGCTTGAGTGTTTTTTGAAGTTCTTTGAAGTGGTTTTGTAAGTGTGGAGTAGATCAAGTTGTTATTGTTGATATTAGGTTTTAGAAGAACCTAACTTTTAGATTAAGATCTAGATCTAGATCTTGGTTTGTTCTTACTTGTGCTTAAGAGTATTTTGGTGTTGGTGTTTTGTTTCTTCACCTAAAGAAAAAGTTTGCATTGTGCTATTGCTGAGATAGATCCTTGGTGATCTAACTCTATAATTTCATATCCTAAAGCTGCTGATTGTCCTTAAAAGGCGTCTTATGGTGTATAGAGGTGATTTGTGAGCATTAGAGAGATATTAGAGTGGCAAATCAGATTTGAGACACTTAGATAAGTCATCAAACTTGTGAGAAGTCTTAGAAGTGAAGTTGAGAGTGTTTTTGAGAGTAAAAACACTAATTTATTCACAAAGAAGGATTTTGTGATTCTAAGGCAGCAAAATCTTTTTGCTGATTTTGATAGCATTATGACTTCTTCTTACAATCCTTTTTGATACAACTCTTCCTTAGACATGGCTTCAAGTGAGGGTGAAGGATTGAGAGTTATTGAGAAGTTTAGAGGTGAGAATTTCTACCATTGGAAGGTAAAAATGGAGCTTTTGTTGGCATCTTTGGATCTTTGGGATATTGTAGATGAAAGTGAAGAGGCTCTAAGAAAAGATGCTGGTATGAAGGAGAAGAAGGAGTTCAAACATCGTGAAAAGAAGGCTTTTGGATTGATTGCAACCAATATGGATGAAGCCAACTTCTCCCACATTATCTCTTGTAAAGGACCAGCGGAAGCATAGAAGACTCTTTGCAACATCTATGAGAGCAAGAACTTATCCAACATCATCTATACAAGGAGGAAGTTCTTCACTTGCAAGATGGAAGAAGGTGAAGACCTTATGGCTCATGTCAATAAGGTAAAGGCTCTTGCAAACCAACTAGCAATTGTTGACAAGCCTTTAGAAGAAAGTGATATTGTCGTGACCTTGCTAATGAATCTTCCCAAATCCTACAACTACCTTATTATAGCATTGGAGTCCATCAAGCTAAAAGAGCTTACAATGGACTATGTGATGACAAGACTTTTCCATGAAGTAACCAATAAGAAAGAAAATGAGCCCCAAAGTGAAGATTCAATACTCTACTCACGTCAACGCAAGGACAACTATCTAAATCAGCAAGATAATGTCAAATCTTGCTTCATTTGTGCCAAAGTAGGCCATTTTGCTCGAAATTACTACAAAGGCAAAAAGATAGAGAAGGAGAATGCAAATAGTATATAAGATGAATTTAGAGAATAAGATTATGCATTCATGGCAAGAAATGGGATCTCTATGGTTGCCATGTTAAGATGGATTGTGGATTCAGGTTATTCCAAGCATATGACATCTTATAAGTATTCATTAGACACTTATGAGGCTATTCCAATATCAAACAAGGTGTTGGCGGATAGTAGTACATGTGAAGCCATTGGAATTGGCTCTATTATGGTGGAGGTGGTTGTGAATGGACAAACCAATAGGATCAAATTCAAAAACGTCCTTCATGTGCCTAAAATGAAGCAAAACCTACTTTCACTGAGTAAACTTGTAATGGAAGGTTTTAAAGTTCAATTTGACATGAATGGATGTTTTGTAAGAATATTGAACGGAGACAAGGTCTTTAAAGGCTTGAAATAGGAAAATTTGTACTACCTCATTTATAAGAAGGTGAATGGAGTAGAGGTAGCCGCATTTGCTTAGTTTACATCAAACTAAGACAAGTTGAATATATGGCATTGTCACCTTGGCCATTTGAATGTGAAGAGTATGAGAGAGCTCAAGACTATAGTAAGTGGCTTAGATCTTTGCAATAGAAGCCAAAATGTAAAATAACTTGCATGTGAACGATGGATACAAGGCAAACAACAAAGGGCCTCATTTCCAAGGAGTGTAGCAACACGTGCTACCAAGTTGCTAGAGATTATCCATTCGGATGTATGTGGACCTATGAAGAACATAAGTATTGGAGGATCAAGGTAATTTTTCACTTTCATTGATGATTATTCAAGAAAGATTTGAATCTACATTTTTAAAGCCAAGAGTAAATACTTTTGGAGGTTTGA